TAGTGGACGGGTTTTAAACAAGTTATTTTTTAATTACAAATCTTATAAATACTTTCAAGTTTCAGCTCATTACTCTTTTAGTTATCTAATTATTATAATTATAATTTATTACCAATAGACTAATAATGATGCTTAAGAATTCTAAAGCCATTTTAATACTATTTTTTAGGACATTTTCTCAATATATATATATATTATTTATTTCCTTATTTATTGTGAAAAATTGATTCCTACACAATACATATTCAGTTAATTCATTAAAATAATTATTTAAACTATACCTATTGTTAAACCATAAAAGACATAAACGATGTTATTAAATATTATATATATTTCAAGAAAAAACATTGTCTTACACTAAAATAGATTCAAAATTTCAGTGGACAAAAAATTTAAATACGTAATTATTTTAGAAGTTCCAAAACTAACTATTTATACAATAATCTTTTAATATAAATATAAATATATTTGTTTACATTATTTTTTATATTATAATTTATAACATAATAGGTACATTTATGATAATTTAGTAGGTTTAAAATTTAACTTGCTTATTTATTAAAAATACTGTGAATTATTAGTAAAAGAAAATACTTGCATTAAAAACCATTCGAACTTAAATTAAATATTTACTTGACAAGTTTTAAACAATGAGCGTGGGCACATCAAATGTTATTTCATATATGTTAAAACACTAGGCAATTGGTATTGTGATGTAAATTTTGTTTAACGTGGATCACTAAATCTCCATAGCCGGATGTATGCTGATACCTATTGTGGTGTGATTAATTGCTGCCTTGACCTAACAAACAAAACTTGCCACCAGGTCTAATTGTTAAGAATATAGCTTTAATTTATCCTAATTATTGAGTGACTATTGACTGAGTACATTATTTATTTTGCAATAAGTTTGGTTAACTAAACAAAACGTCTTTTTTAAATAATTTACATCATATATGCAAATATAATTCAATATATAAATTATTGGTTTATTAAAATCAAAATATTTTAGTACTTAATTAATGTATAAATCATAGGCACTTAAATAACAATAAAACATTGTGATTGAGTTTAAAAAATAAATAAATAGACACTATCTAAAAAATTAACATTATTTGTTTATATTTATAGATACTTAACATACAAGCTAACCTACATGTTCTTATTATTTCATAATTTTTGTTAAAGGAACGAATCGAGGTACAAACAATGGAATAGTGGTCATTGTCATTGAAAATCTATTATAACTGCTAACAATCGTTTGTAGAAAAATATTATAAACACAATAAAATATGTTTATTTTTAAATATAACAATATAATACAAGTAAAATTTAGAATATTTTTATGTATGACATAATTTCGTTTTTTAAGGCAACCATTTTTTTTTTGTAATTTTATAATATTATTTTCATTAAAGTTAATACATTTTTAAAGAATAAGTTTTTGGTATCACATCTGTTATTGATATTACGATAAACCATAGAAGCCTATTTGTAAATATAAATACTATGATAAGAAATTTTTCAAATGTGTTACTAAATCGGGATACCTGATTATAGAGACGTTGAAAATAATAAATATACATTTTTTGAGACATAATATATATTATTAGTGAAAATAACAGATTAAATCTTTTGAATTTAACTATAATATTCTATTAAAAATTCAAATAATTAAATTTAATGTTTATAGCAAAAATTGGGTGAAACAAATAATTACACAATTATACAAACATATATTGATAATTTATATACATTAAACACACGTTCTAATATAAATGAATAGATATGATTGAAATTAAATAGTCACGAAATGTAGATATTACATTTTTATATCATTTTAGTACATTACATACACCATTCAACATTAATCAAATTTCAACAAAAAATTAGTCGTTTAAGTATCGTGAAACTACAAATGATGTAATATACTTCATATTTAGAAGCTTATACAAAATTATCTACCTAAAAAAATTTGTAAGTGAAAAATATTGTTAACAATGGTTTAGTTGTAAAATTATAGGCGTATAGTTGACAGTTGCAGTATAGTGAACTTATGACTATAAAGTATATAGCAAAGACGCAGACAAGGTACGGCAGCTGAAAATAACGCTGGTTGCGCACGTGCAGTTAGTATTTAATAGGAGGCCCAGGGGTGATCAGGTCGAGGAAGCATGCGGGGGCGAAACATCTGCACTGAGACCCACCATCACGATACTACAGGACAAGGGAGTAACAGCACACACACGCCACCCGCAGCCGGTTTGCATTTCTTTATTACGTAGGTACAGTGATAATCCTATATTATGTACCGTTAAAACAAAATAAACTAATGCGTCTCAACGCCGAGGTATTTAAGTGCTGAACTATAGAGACGACAAAATACTCTAAATCTTACGACTTTTTAAATAACATACTTTTTGTATTTGTATTTATTAGTTGTTTCCATTGCAATTGAACAAATATTATCAGAACAAATTAAACATCACTAATACCAACCACAAATTTGTCTTTTTAAAAAAATATTTAGAAAAATAAATGTTAATAAGCATTAAACGGATTAATTGAGTAAAGCAGTACGTAATTGCACAATATTCATAAGCTATAATTGATACAGATAATAGTCTTGAGTTAAATTTAAATTATCTATCCATTAAAGATAAATAATATGATGTATAATAAGTATTTAAGTAGGTGGTACGTTTGAGATATAAGTTACTAATGGCTTAATAATAGTTATACATTCGTAATTATTTAGATAACTTTAATATTGTAAATACTGATTGAAATGATAATTATATAGTTATATATTATAATGCATTTATATATGAGGATCTGTCACTTTTATTTGATAGTAAATCCTTCTAAACAATAAAAATTGAGATAGAGTTTTCCAAAAAATTCTTTACTTTAAAAAGATCGTTTTCGGGCGTATCATTTCAATTTTTTAATTGATGGTGTCACAATTTTTGTCAGCTATTTTAAAATCGTTAACACGTCACAATATATTTGATAAAATTATAATTATTAATTATTATACTATATACTTTGAAGTAGGCGATAAGATTTAGAATATAAGGGCTACAAGTAATGCAATTGTCAGATTTTTTTTATATATTTTAATGGTAAACAACCGATTTTTATAATTTTTTTTTTTTTTTAATACAATCTTAACAATTAAGGTGATTTTTTAGTTCATGTCTCGTGGTTGTAATTTGTACGAACGACAACATTGTGTAATACACAAATTAACTTTTTATGATTATCATTATACAATTAATATATTACAAATTACAATAATTAATTGTCTCTTAGTGGTTGGTCAAGTATCAAACCACATAGAAAATTTACTTAAAAATTTAAGAAAATATTGAATAATATTAGATATAAAACACATTCCTATCGGTGATTTAATTTTATTCCTAGCAAACCAAAAGAGAAAAAAAAATAAGAAATAATTTCATAAACTTATGTCCAACAAAATGAAAATGAATTATTTAAATCATTTTTGATATACCAAATAAAACATAATAAATATTATTTAATGATAATATTTCAGACATAATTTCAATAAGTACATTTGTATATAATTGACAAAACAATTAAATCTATTTAACATAATACATATCAATATGTATATTGTATTGTATGATAATTGATAATAGTTGCCACTTGCCTATTAGTACCGATGTTTAACGTAATATTTTAAATTACTAATATCCATGAATAATAATTTTTTTGTTCGAATATCTGACACTCGGGTTAAATAAACATTAGTTAAAAACTTAAATACGTATTAATGAGTAATATTATTATTTTTTAAATTCCTCCAAAAAATTTAAGTTTATTTTTATTTACATTTTACAGGGAACTCTTTGAAAGCAATAATTTAAAAGAATAGTAATAATATATAAGTATTATTAGTATACGGTATTAATTTTTATTAAATATTAAAATTATGTAAACATTAATTATTATATAAATAATAAAATGTTATTACGCATTCAATGACAGTCCTAGGTACGATTAATGTGATTGTTGATCAATGGTTAGTCATTTTTATATTAGTTAAATTGTTAAAATATTATCCAATTAGTCGATCAATTAATTAATAATTAAGAGTAATAGTTGCTCAGTGCTTAATTAATAATTATTGAAGTATAAATATGATGCTTATTTTTCGTCATAAAAATAATGAGATTTTAGATAGGTATCTAATAATTTTTTTTTGATATGTGCAAAAAATCTCGGGGTCATTACTAAATGTTTAACCCAATCTATTTAAGTACTTATTTTATAAAAAGTTAAACCGGTAACTTCAATCTCAGACATTAAATATTAATAAATGTTGGGAAATTCAATAAAAAAAAAAAAAAAAAACGCGTAACCTATCTCTCGTTTAAACCATGTGTTAATGGCAATAACTTAATGAATTCACCTTCTTTTATCACATACTTCACTTTATTCGCCTATATTATCGCAGCCGGTATGTAATATTATAATATGAAATATATTTTTACTACTTAGTACCTACCTATAGTTAAATAAGTTTTACGTCATGTAAACATTAACGAGGTCATATTTTTTTTTTTAAATATTTTAGTATTTACATGATTATATGAACGATAAACCTTTAAATATTTTTTTAATAGTAAATATTAAAATAAAATTTATCAATTGTATTAACAGGTAACGCAATATTCAACATAAATAATAACATCTCATTTTGTAAAAATACTAACCAATTAAGTAATGCAAGTTCAAATTTATTTAATCAAAATTATAGATTTATTATATACATAATACATTAAGTAGACACTCAGTGTTTCTTAGAATAAACTAAGGAAGGCGTAATCGAGAAGTTTTTTCGTTATATATTTATTCTAAACGTTTAAAATTTACCATATAAAATGTTTAGTTTTGCTAATGAATATATTGTAAAAACTTTTCAACTTTCAAATGAAAATGACAATGTTCGTAAACATTAAACAAAGATTTACCTTAATGATGAGCTCAATTTCCGGCACATGTCCATTCTCTTCGTGCACGTTGCCATTGGCGTGTAGAGCGTCTTCGTCGGCCATAGTGTATGTGTGTTTAATATTATTGGATTAAATAAGTGCGTCAGACGACAAATAATTTGATTATGGAATAATACTTTTATAAAATATTTAATAATCTATAATTTTTGGCGAATGAGACTAGATTTCGGTTAAACTATATACACGATGGCCAGCCGCGCACAACGCATATAAACTCACGTCTTGCAATATTACCGTGTACTGACAGTGACAGCGACTAGTGACCGACGAGGCGACGACCGATCGAAAGTTGTTTTTATGATATTAGATTATAATTATTTTTTATCAGCGTAGATTTGACTAACGATACAACGACGAAGAACTACTCAACTACCAACCGCATCACTGATTGTTGAACCACAAACTGCATAGTGCATACAGCCGCGGCGAAAGCCTAAAGTATTTACCCGAAAAAACGTCCTTGGCTCCCGGGGCACGTATCGTGGAGAAACAAGCGATCAACTGTTTGTTCCATGACTGTAGTGCGTGGTTTGTATTGTATTGCCACAACGCGCGCGCTTGTAACAGATTACTTGCGATTTAAAATATCACATGACACAATAATATACCCCCTATTGCTTTCACAATATATTACATTTAAGCTATACAGCCTATTGTTTCCAAAATGTTATTTCATGTCTTCATGAGAGGAGATTAAAATTTCAAGAAATATTTCTACTCTAATATTATATATTTTCTTAGAGTTCAAACAATCTTTGATTTTGTTAAAAAAAAATGTGTTATTATGAAAGAACCTTAATTTGAAAAGTTCATTTAAAAATTGAATTAATTTATGTTTACTACATTAATGTGTGAAAAGCAAAGTAATTCATTCATAAAATTCTTTTTTATTTATTTTTACCTTACTCAAAGTTTTTAAGCCTAATTAAGCAATAATTTAAATAAAATTTAATTCCTTTTTTCTTAAAGGATAACAGGTTCATCTTGATAGTTTAAACAATTTTTAAAAAATCTAAAAAATGTTGATTGAAGTATAGACAATTTTTTTAAAGTTTTTATAAGAATTTTTATAATAACATATACAATATTAGATGTATATTTATAATATAATATTATTAAGACAAAAAATGTATGTTTGAATGTACTGATCTTAAGAACTACCAGTATAGTTTCAATAAGTTTTTTTTATTTGAAGAAAAATTTAAATCTATATTTGCTTAGCATGATAAGTAAATGAGATAATATTACAATAAATAATTATGTACATAAAAATAACACATAAATACATGATGAGGAAAGTTATCCAGTAATGAAACCATTTAGAAGAATTTGTTTATTTATCAGCTTATTTAGTAGGTCATGGCACTGACACCTATTGAGATGATGTGGTAAATTTTCAGAAAGTGTTTGATGATAGATGGTTAAAGGGTTAATTACTATCATCAGTTTACTTGATTAACTATACATAGATAGATTGAGACTCAAAACATACCAATATATTCAATTTCAATAAAAATGTAACAATTCAAGTATATTAATGTATACATTTTTAAAGTTATTTACTTACAAGTTTAGTAATCTCCTGTCAATATACAATTTTAATTGTTACACTGCCATTTCCAACCATTTTATTCATTATTTGATACTTACATTTATCTACGGCTACCTCTATCATACCTATCACTTTTGGTTCTATCACTTCTTTTATCTCTATCATCTCTATTACTCCTTTTATTTTTGTCATCCTTCTCTCTTCTTCCATCTCTTTCTTTTCTATCGCTTTTTCTTTCTTTTTCATTTCTGTAGATTTTTTTTGTTTTGTCATAACTATCACGTCTTCTGTCTTCATCTTTTTCAATTCTCCTATACTTGTTATAGGGTAACCTATCTTCTTTTTCATTTCGATATTTATTACTTTTATCATTTTTTCTATAATGTTTTGATTCATGAGTTGACATTTTATCTTTACTGTAATGATTTCTAGAGTCATAGCTATCTCTTTTCTTATTTCTGTTTTTAGAATATTTATCACTTATATTTTTTCCTTCATCATCTTTATCAGTGTACTTCACTCCTCTTCCTTTGCCTAACCATTTAATTTTTGATACACTTTGACTGAAATCTACGTGAATTCGGCGATCATCAATTAGCACATTATCCATTTTGAGGTAAGCGTCTTCACATGATTTTTGATTATCAAATTCAACAAAAGCATATTGAAGAGAATTCCCAGACTTTTTATCTCTAATAACTTCACAACTGTAATAAAGTGATAAATATGAAAATTAGAAATGTAGTATTTAATAATTTTGCTTATTTTTAACCAAACACAATTAAATTTAATACTAATTGATTGGTATTATATTGTATTTTACATAACGTATAATTTAAAATAAAAAATTTACCTAACAATTTTGCCAAATCTGCTAAATATTATTTGTAAATCATCATCACTGGTAACTGGATTTAGTTTACACACAAATAAAACATTTTCGGGAGGTGCAATATCAGCAGAAGGTAAATCACCAACTATTTCAAGAATGGTAGCACGAGCTAAAGCTTCCTTTTCTAATCGTTTTTCTTCTAATTCTTCAATATCTATATCTTCAGTGATATCTTCATCTGCTCCAATTCTATCACTCTAAACAAATATATAAATTTATATTTAAAATCTAAATATACTTATTATAAAAGTTTATTTACCTGGAGTACTTCTAGTGGTGGCTCAGGAGATTGACATGGTATAATTAAACCATCAGGATCAGAATATGGATCTTCTAAGATGACTGTATGTGTTATTCTGTCATAAGAAAAAATTAAGTAATATAAATTTTAATTAATTAGAAAAAAAATTAGAGTACTTGGATCATGTTTCTATTAGAAAATTAATAAGTTATTATTAAATACATAATAAAACATTTCATTTTTTTAATATTCGATAAAATAAGGTATTAATTTAAAAAAATAATATTATTTTATTTTAAAAATAAATTCAGCAGTTCATTTGATTTTCTAAGTTTAATTTGTTTTTAATAAATACGTATGGTATAATAATAATTTATAAAAATTATCATATCAATCAAAAACCATGAGTGATAAACCGATGTATTTTGTTAATTTTAATTTGTATAATAATATGCATTAATATATATAAATATAATATATACATTTATAATTTAGATCACTTAAAGTTAGACTTTAAAACTTACTTCAAATGTAACATATATACAAAAAGTTCAAACCTTATATCCTGATATGGTCGATGTGTAGCATCACAAATTGTTTCATTCAATTTTAATAATACATCATGACCTTCAGCTATTTCACCAAAAACAATATGTTCATCTAACGAACAAGTTGTATCTTCACCTAAAGTTATAAAGAATTGTGATCCAACTCTATAAAATAAAAAAATATATCAAAATAATTAATTTAATAAAAAATGTTGAACTTTCAACATACAAATTATCGCCACAATTAACCATTGAAACAAGTCCTGGTCGATCATGTTTTATTTTTGGTTTTTTTTCTCCTTCGTAGTACCTGGCATCTTTACCAGATAAAATTCTAAATTAAATGAAAATGCAATTAAAATATAAATAATATAATGAAAATTGTTTTAAATTTACCCATAAACAGATTGTCCTCCAGATCCAGTACCTGTAGGATCGCCTGTTTGAGCCACAAAATTTGATTGCACATGATGAAAGAGACAAAAGTTGTAATATTTTAATTTACATAGCTTCAGAAAGTTTTTGCAAGCTGGAATGGTTAAAATTTAATAGATATATACTTCACAACAAAACAAAAATTTTAATAATGCAAAAAGAGTATGAAGGTTTAATAACTAAGTTTGATTTATTTATTATATGGCAAATAGAGTATTATTTAGTCAGTAACAGATGAAATGAAGAAAATATAAATTTATTTAAGAATATAAGTAAATACTTACAATGAGGTCTTTCTTTTATAAATAAATCTATTGTTAAATCCCCAATAGTAGTTTCAAGAACTACAGACATGATTTGAATCTTGAGTGTTTTCCTAAAAATTTCATAAACATTTAAAACTAAAATATTTATTTAACTTCTAAAAACTAACATTTTAAACCTATAAAGAAGTCTAATTCAAAATGTAAAATACTTATAATATGTAAAAAAATAAAACTATTCAAACTTTAAACAATATCATATACATAGCAAAGAATTCAAACAAAATAAATCATTTTAACTTATTGATAAATACTTTTCATAATTATTACAAAAATATTGAAAAAAAATTAATTAATTAATATTATAAAATAATATTTATATGTTTATGTTTCGTATTTCAATTTCTAGATATAACAGATTGATATGCTAATGATGATGATTACTTACGTTAGAAATTTACCACGAATTTTCACATTCAATTAGTTTATTAATTGTTTATGGAAGTAGGAATTGGGAATTTGAAGGGAATCTACTAGCTTATCAGTAATTGGTTTAAAAATTTGAAATTAATTTATGAAAATTGGACTGTGAAAAAAGCGGCTTGGCTTGCTCAACTTCCTTAACCGTCTTTTATCACAGTTGTAACTTGTGTTTTTTATTATTTAGTATTTACATTTTTCGCTTCCCCACGAATAGATAGTATAGTATGGTGATGGTCACAGTTTGGTCGTATACACAATATAATATGAAGTATGTTGTTTAATGTCTTGTGACTATGCAAACACTGCAAAGTGCATTTTAATACAATATTATTAAATATTAAATTAACTTACCTATAATAATATTATTAATAATATTCCAGACTTAATATAACGGACTGTAGTCTGTAGTGTCACGCTACTAGCGTGTTGTTAATAATTAATATTGTAATATTATAATAATAAAACATGATTAAATCTATTTAAGTGTTTTAAGAACTACGAAGACTTAAATAATTGGAATAAATCATAATTTATATTAGTTTAAATATAATTATTATAACATGCAATTTGTATAAACGTATAGGTACTATTGTTTTGTAGTTAATATGAACGTAGGTATATAAATGTTGTGCCACAAAATCATATTTCATGAATTCATGTGGTTTTGGTAGGTAGATACGATAAAATAAAATAATAAAATACGAGTGGTTGGTATGTTCTAATCTTTGCTCTATCGGTAAGAATAGTTTAATATGCCTCTGAAAAAAATTACCAGTTAAACTTCACACAATGCTATTAGGTATGGAAAGAAGCGTAGGCCACTGATATTGGTGAAATGTTTGGAAAGTATAAATGTAGGATGTAGAATAAACCATTAGGTATAATAAAAGTTAACCTTTAATGAAATTTTTATTTTTATACGAGTACCTATCATAAATGTACACATTACACAGTTATTTTATGAAACGGGAAATAATTATATAAGGTAAGTAGGTACCTACTACCTACGTGCTGTTTTTCTTGTATTCTTTTTTTATAATTTTTTATTTTATGGCTTACCTATATCAATATTTTTCACTTAGTTTTTAGTTGAAAATTTTAAAAGGCTTAAAAGTATTTCATTATGTTAAATTTATTAAAAAAAAATCTTTTTTATATGATTATAATAAAATATATAAATAAAATACGTAAAAAGTAAAATATTAGAAAATAGAGATCAAAAAAATATGTACACATAGACATAGGTTTATATACGGAACAAATAACAGAAATAATAATTTGTAGGAATATAATAACTAGGAAAAAAATACAAGAGAAAAATCATAGTTGAAAAATTATTAATCAGGAAAAAAAATTTAACAGGAATTTAATTACCTATATGAGAAAATAATACACTGGAATTTCTTAGACAAGAAACTATTCTTCACAGGAAATAAATATATAATACTCAGCATTATAATTTTATAGAAATATTATATACCTATTACATAAGATATGTCTTTTGATAAATTTGTTTTTTGTGTTAAAACTTAAAATTGTTATTAAATATTATCGTTTTACGTTTAAATAATATGTAATAATAATATAGATTACACAACTTAAAACTTTATGTATCGAAATATTGCTAAGTTTCAGTGACTTAGCTAAGCTGATATAGAAGCACTCTCTTCCCATTTGTCGTGGTATTTCTTAATTTAGAGGAAGGTATAGGTCGAGAAGTAAATAACTAATAACTATTGTCTATTAATATAAACATAATGTATTAAAATTTTTTAATTATATATTTTTAAGGTACATACAATGACATACTTTAATAAAATTACAGAAATAAAAATTAGAAACTTTACATGTTTATATTCACTTTATAAAAAAAAATAAATTGGAAGAAAATGTTGTCTTCTTTATTATAATAAATACTTTTCTTTAGATAGGTTCCTACTTTAATATGCTGATGTTCAATCAATAATGGATTTATTTCATTAATCCTTTAATAATTATTTATTACAATAATAATAATATAGGATAGCTAATAATTGAGTTACAATTTATATTAAAATTTCTTTAAATAAGTACCCATGTATAAAAAAAAAAAAATTGTTTTATGTTACTGATATATAAGTAATATTATAAATTATAATAGATATATTATTTGATAAATTGTAAGATATTAAAATATCAAAAAAATAAATATGTTAATCCCTACTTACGCATTTTAGCATGTAAGCAATAGAATATGCAGTATGCACTACCTATGCACTATGCAGTATTACGGTTACCACCTTATCATAAATGATAAATGGTAAAAGTTCGGTTGCAAGGTAACTTCACAAACATTACTATATTCATCAGTAGTCTGTAATCTGTACTTCAATACCACTGTAGTATTATTGTTCTGTAGTTGGTAGTTAGATAACACTAAACAGTACAATTGATTACCTAGTGTCTTGCCAAGTGATTAGGTATAAAATATTTAAATTTTAAATCAACCAATACTATTATAATATATATATTCAATGTTAATATTTTAAATTACAATCTACAATATTTTGTTAATTTGAATATTTAGTATTAAAGACCAATTCAGATTTTTTTGATCAATAGTAGGTGACAAGAAACAACTCAATCTTTTATTGGAAATTTTTGAAATGGTAAACCTACTTGTCCAACAATTATTACATGTAACAATTGATTTATTTGTTGATTACCATTTTATAACGGTTGTAATTTCTTGTACTACTTTTGTACTAACATTTGGTTCCTGTGTCCAATATTATATATGTTATTATCTTATAGAACATGTCAGAAGTGACAAAAATTGAAGAACCATTGTCTGCAACCATTGCTCGTCACTACGATAACGGAGAAAATAATTTATCAGCAAGAAATGCATCTCGTATCTTGTATTTACGCAATTTTAACAATTGGGTTAAATCAACTCTTATCCGTGAGAAAAATGCTTTTTTTTTCATCCATTATGCTTATTAATATTGTTATTATTGTTTAGAGAAAGCTGTAACAATGCTTAGAGACAGTAGAATTCATGATGGAAAATTGCATGTATTAGATTTAGCTTGTGGTAAAGGTGGTGATTTAAATAAATGGAGAAATGCAAGTTATATGGAACATCTTGTGGCTGTGGATATATCTCCTGGATCAATATCAAATTGTCATACCAGATATGAAGAGATGAAAAAAAGAAATAAATACTTATTTGATGCTCAATTTATTGTTGCTGACTGCACTAGAGTAATTCATATTTTATATTCATTAAACACCAATTTTTAATTTATTTTTAAATGAAATACTTTTAGGTAAATATAAATACATTATTTAAAGATTCATCTATGAAGTTACATTTGGTTAGTTGTCAATTTGCATTTCACTACTGTTTTGAAAGTATACAACAAGCTGAATGCATGCTAAAAAATGTGACAGAAAATTTGGTGAGCGGTGGAATTTTTATAGGTACTATACCTAATGCAAGAGAAATTGTGTAAGTAATATTAGTTTAATATAATTAATTTTTATTTTACTTATGGATCAAACCCATTTCAACAAGATGATAGTATATCAATGTATATTGTATGTATGTACAGATTAAAATAATATAAAAAATAGGCAGATTAATATGGAAAAGGAAAATAGAGTTAGTATATTTATAACATATATGTGATAAATAATTGGAAAGTTCAGAAAATAATTTAAAAAATGAAAAAGGTAAGATGAATATTTACAGAAGTATTAGTACTGTAGGAAAGAATATTGAAAGAGACACGAGATAGTAATTCAGAACAATACATTTTATGTCCGGTCCACGCAAGATTAATTAATTTAATTAGCTCAGTTAAGTGCCTAAATTGTTATTTTAGAGATTCTACTAAAATATTTCAGTTTACATAAAAAATCACCTTGGATACTATTAGGATCCAAGGTTCAAAGATCCATTGATTAATAGAATTAATGTCGAAGAAAGGTTGATTATTCTGACAAGAAGTATTAGCATCATTAGGAAGGGCTTGCAATATAAAAAGGATTGGATTCTAACTTAGTATATCATTCAGTGATTTGTTGTTGGGTAAAAAGGAGAATAATTTTTTACTAACCAAAGTCCTAAATGAATGAGAATTACATAATAAGTATGGGTCACAAAGATAAAAATTGATATTCATATAGTAACTGAGTGGGTTGAATATTGTGCATGAACGCAAGCTATAGAAAGGACTTGATTCTTGAATTTACAAGTAAACTAGGATGAAAAAATAGTCTGGTAATTAGATATTTTAGGAACAAAAGATTTAGATTGAGTAGAGAAGAGCTTCTTAAATAGAAGTCATGGCACTGTCAGTTTACATCACATAACATGCTTAGACGTATAATCAATTTATTTATCAAAATTATGTATATTAATAATTATTTTAATTTAATTTATATTGATTAATTTAGGAGACGCCAAAAAGAATGTGGTAAAAAACAATTTGGTAACAATATCTATAATATTGAGTTTATGTGCGATATTGACAAACCATTTCCAATATTTGGTGCAAAATATAATTTTCATTTAGAAGGAGTTGTCGACTGCCCAGAGTTCCTAGTTTACTTTCCTGTTTTAGAAAAGTCAGTTAATTTTATAATTTTTTAATTATTTTATTTATTTTAATAATATGTTAAATAGGTTAGCAAAAAGTTATGGATTAGAACTAAAAATGAAAATGACGTTTGCGGAATACTTTAAAGAACAATCAAGTTTAGATATAAATTTCTTAAGTCGTTTAACAGCTTTAGAGGTATTTTATTGTAAAATTAATATTAATATTTTATAACTAATGATATAGAATTTTTCATGATACATCATTAGTCATTAAATTATAACTCCTTTGTGATTACAAATTGAACACAAGCTGATATTAGTATTTGAAGCTATTTTATTTATATTCATTATTTATTTCTTATCATCCTTTATAAAAGACAAATCTTATGATTTAAATAGTAATATCATTATTCATTACATTAAAATCTATTTTCAAACTAAAATGTTAAAAACATTGAAGTGTAGATTTTTAAAACACTAAGATATTACTATTTAGGACTTAGGTCTACAATTATTGTTTTATACATAGGTGGCTGAGCTGTTGTATTAAATACAATTGTTTAATTTTTAGTAATTTTAAAAAGTATTGGTTTTTTTCTAGTACTTGAATTCAACATTAACTTTTTCATATTTTTCCATTTTTGTTCATACTTAAAAAAAAAAAAAAATCAATGTTCTTATTATGATACACAGTATTTGTTAAACATTTTTACCAATATTAATTTACAAAGATATACAGTCATTTTTAATTTTGTTTTAAAATAACTATAAAATGTTTGTTTTTAATTATTTAATCATTTTCTGAAAACAATAACTTGGATTTTGAATTATAACAGTTAATTTCTTTTGTATTTTATATATAATTATATAATATAAACAAACCTTTTATTTGTTTTTTTTTTTTTAATGAAAATTTTGTACTTAGTTCTATCCTCCACGGAAAGAAACTGAACTTATGGGAATGGAAGATGATTATGACAAAGCCAAACAGTTTCTAAAGGAAAATAAACAAGACAGTGTCGGAACACTATCAACATCTGAATGGGAAGTTGCAAGTAAGATTTTTTGGCTATTAAAATGCTAACAAATTATTTTTTCTGAACAATTCTTTTTTTCAGCTCTGTATATGGTGTTTATGTTCCAGAAAATATAGCCAAGTTAATTGACGTTTTAATTTAAATGGAATATAAACGAATTTAAATAAAATAATTTATTTAACTTTGTGCAATTTATTAATGTATATTTTTTTTATATAAAATGACAAAATTGACAGTAGTTATGTGAAATTGTATTCTTTGTATGTGAATGTGTTAATTATTTCCTTTTGCTTTTGGCTTTCTGTTGGGATTGGGTTTCATTTTTTTCATTTTTAATCCATAATATCTCAATAAAGGCTCTTTATAGGTTTTTGTTTTACGTTCCACAGATTCTCCTATATCCTCAATATTTGTAGGTTTTGTGTCTATACTAAATAAATTATTAGATGTTGGTATTTCAAATAATTCTTCATGTTCAAAAGGTTGTTGGTTTCCAACTGCCATTTTTTCAATTGGTATAAATGATAAGTCATTTAATGCATGAACATTTGATGTTTCTCCTAGTACAAAAGCCCTACCTTCTTGGGGCTTCTTAAGTAAATAATTTTCGATATTAACATTTAATCTTGCTGGATTTTCTTTTGATTTCAATTCCCTCATACCAATTTGTTTAATACTTGGATTTTTAAATTTATTAGATAACTGAATAATAGTTTGATAGAGATTATACAAAGGACTTTCAGGTCTGCTTAATATATCATTCTTCATTCCTATCACTGCAGAAGAAAAACCAATTAGACGTTTTGTAATTGAACGCATATCTGGAAGAATTAGAACTGGTATTCTCTTTGTAGAAGTCATAATAAGTAAATGTTTAGCAATCATACAGTTTGCCACATCTTCTGCTATCAAACAACAAGTTATTTGATCTTTTTCAACACATCTACTAACTTCATTAATACCCATTTTCAAAACTGATCTGCAAATACATATTTATAAATACTTTGTATTTACTATTAGGTTTATAAAAAAACCATTATGGTTAAAAATTAGTGATAGCCTTACCTTTGTGCTTTTAATTCAGGACTTATATGTTGTTTATGTGAAATGGAAAAATTTTTAATTTGGCATTTTCGTACATCCAAAGGTAATTTCTTTAAAGTGAACCAATTTACTTTTAACTTACCATTTTCTTTAGATATACTTCTGAAAAAATTAAAAATATAAATAAACTATTAAAGTAAAGTTGATAAACATTAAATGGGTCATATTATAAGGTTTAATACAATTATTGATTTATCAGTAAATTAAACAATATAACTTAAAAAATATGTGCATACTACACAATAACTAATTAATTACTTGGTAAAAGCATTTAAAAATTAATTTTATTAGGTAGGAAATTTTTAAGTTAAATTTGTATGTTTCTTAGTAAAAATGTGTTATATTGATAAACTTTAAAACTAAACATATTTAGTTAATAACAAAGAGTATGAAGGTTTGATACTTACTTTTGCATTTCGTCAACTAGTAATTGTGATTTTTCTAAATCTAAAATTGGCCTATAGAAAAAAAATTTTTTTATTAAATACTAGTTTTTATATGATCTAAACAATTTTAAATCCATGGATAGTTGTAATTTACATATAAATGATTGGTAAATAAAATACCCATTGTGAAATAGATTGTATGAAGAACTCTATTTATTAGTAGAAAAATGTGTATCTATTTGTGTTATTTAGGCTGTTTTCATGCTTTTATATAAATATTAGCAAATATTACCAAAATTTTTCATAAGGATCTGTAACAACACATCTAGGCCTTAGATTTTTTTTCATTATTCCCTTATGTTTCATATTCAGCTCTCTTAATGTCGTCATATTCTAAAATACTGTATATCAAACATCAATTTAAGTTCAAAATTAAAGAAAATTATTAAAGTTTATGCCCGTTTTAAGTTTAAACGTACTTAAAAAAAGTCAAAATACAAAAAACGTAAAATTACAAAGTACTAAAAGCACATAAAAACATTTTACAATTTTACTTATAACTTATAAGTTAAAACAAATTTTGAGTCGAAGCCCGAAGAATTGACGTAATCACTAGGGTCTCATTACAAAATATATAATTTATAAATGATAATATGCTAAACTCGCGGTCAATTATAATCACATACCGCTACCGGTTTTAGATATGAGATAAGCTGTATCACTATTTTCATGAAGGAAAGGGAATTTGATGTTTATTGATCCACGATTTCATTATGATAATTAATTGATAATATAATGAGTATCGCCTATCGGCCGTCGTGTAGAACTGTAATTTAGCTGTTTAGTGTTTATAAAAAAAAAGTAGTGCTTAAATTATTATTGTTGAGTGTTGACATATTTCTATCGCACAACGTATTAATTAACAGATCATTTGAAACACCAAATTATCATCAAATTCAAATGACAGTCTACTAATGCGGACCTTTAAGATTTATCTGCAATACAATCGTGACGTTGAGATGTCTACTAGTTAGTACGAGCAAATTGGGATCATTCACACTTTGTCTCGATTTCTAGTACTCGACATTCAACGTTTATAATTCAAGCCCCATTATTGTTCATCTATCGTGATAATTCGGAATAACTATGAGCGTGGTACAAGGTGGACTCAGCAAACTGAAAAAAAAACACATTGGTGTGAAGAGACAGAAGGTTAAGTTGTTCCGTGCCAATGAGCCACTGCTGTCAGTTCTCATGTGGGGTGTGAATCATACTGTATGTATACATTTTAGTTGATTATAATAATATCCTATTTATCATAATATTAATATTATTGAGTAACTATCCAATTTTTTTTGACAATTTTATATTTATTTTTTTATTTATATATATTTCTGTATTTTACTTAAATATTGAGGTTCTTGAAAAATTTAGTTATATACTATTCTACTCTATTCTTTATCAAGTTTTCAAAAATAAAACTATACATAAATTGTTTAATATATAGCTTAATCAAAGAATAATTTTAATAAGAGAAAGGAGGAAGCTATTATAAATATCTTCAAGGATTTTCAATAAAAAAAAAAAAAATGAAAGTAAAAATTTCAGTTTATTCATATCATAAACATTTAAAAACAATTTAATTGTATTTATTATTTATGAATACAAAATAGAAATGTAACATTTAATTTTTAGTTACTTATTATTAGTTAACTTAATTTGTCTACATGTTAAATTGTATTAATATTACTTATCATTTTTAATAGTATGTTAAATTGATTATTTAATTATATTTCTTAGCAAAATTACAAAAAAAAAATAATAAAGATATTAATAATTATATCTTTTATTATATAGTATTTTCCCTTCAACTATTATTTTAATGTAGATTGTTTATTTTAAATTAAAAAAAGAAATTTCTATTCCTTAATAAGTGTAATTAGATTATTAATTAGAAAAATAAAATTATAATAAAATCTTGATATACTTATCATTTTGAGTTGACATAACTATTTTAAAATAATTATGTATTACTAGGTACTCGTATTTTTTATGAGATGCTTAAAAAATATTATGTATCTATTTTATTTTTTGCTTTTACATTTAAAAGTATGTTATTTGACCACAGCTACAAGGATTAAGTGGAAATTAAAAAAGTTAAACTTTTATGGCCCATCAAAAATAAAAGTAAAATAAACTGTTAAATTTTTTGATATAAAATATTAAAATTTATGTGGTTTAGTTAATTCTTTTTAGATTATTTTGCCTTAGCTAGATTTATATATTTCATGTTAAATATAGTCTATAGACATTAGGCTAAGAATACAGTTCATTCTGGACTTTTCTTTAAAGAGTGGTTTGTGTTGTCACCTAAAAGATTATTACTTCATTTTTTTTAGATTTTAATATTTAATGGATGGCATAAGATATACCTATCTCATTACTATATTTAGAATATTGAAATTGCTTATCAGTTATGGGTATTGACCAATGAGTAATATATCTGAAAACAAAAGGTTTATGACTAATGACAAAGTAATTAAACATAAATATAAATGAATTTTGAATAATAGCCAAATAAGCAAAGTTAATCTTCTAAAACTATATCATTTGACTTAATGATCTAATCAAAAAAATATTTAATTTATAAACATTTGATGTAAATGATAAAATTTAAATCTATCTATACTTTTAGATTATGAATGAGTCAATGAATGTAATGATTTTATAATGGCATGTAGTTTTTTTTCTAACTACAGACGCATTTTAAATTAGAAAAATATTTTTATTTTAACTTCAACATCTTTCTTCATAAGAAATCTGTAATTTTTAGTTAGGTTTTTATTTAAAATTTTTAAGGGATAAAAGCAAGAAATTTCTGTACTTTTTTATTAATAAAGAGAAAAATAAAAATGATAGTAAAACAGGAATTTATATATAAAACCAGTTTACAACAAAATAAATTTTCTTAGTTTGTTGTAATTAAAAAAAAAATTACTGTAGATACATGCAATTTTATATCAAATATTATATATACCAAATGTTTTTTTTAAATTTTCCATTTATAATATTATTTTATTAATTTATTTAGATCTTTGATTTATAAGTCTACTCATAAGCAAGCGACATTTTTGATTTTTTTAGTTTTTTTCCCATAATGGTCTATGAAATATTTTTTAATTTATTGAAAATTTGAACATTTAATACGGCATAAGTTTACTCCTCCTAAGTTGTGATTATTCTTTTTCATACCTGAAAGTTTGTGGAAGGTTAAAACTTCAAATAATATAAAATGTACATTCATGGTATATCACTATCATTGCTGTCTTCATTTTAGCATAACTATGGTGGTGTTTAAAAAACAATGAAGATAACCCAATTGAATGTTTTTAAGATATGTTAAATTAGATTATATTATTTAATGTAAATAATAAAAATAATAGTGTTATTAATTGTTTATATATATTGGTATATGTTGTAATACATATTTTACTTATATAATGTAAATTTTGAATTAGATTTTGACATATATTATTGTTATAATTGTGTATTATTAAATATACTATAATTCTATGTCTATGTATTTATTTAAGTATAAAAAGTATTTGGTAGACAACAAGTGCGCAGTAAATTGCATATGACATGTAGAAATGTGTAGTAGACCGCATACAACAAGAATATTGAAGATTAATATATTTTGTAAAGTATAATAATACATAAAAAATTTAAAAATGTGTAGTAAATAATAAATATAACCTTAGAATAGAGAAGTATATAATATAAATTGTATTTTTTCACAGTCAAACATTTAATGTAATCAGAATTTTCATTACAAGCAATAATTGTTAATTAAAAACAAATATATTTCATAATTAAAAAATTTCTTCAGTGTTATTGGACTGATATATTTTTTTAACCTCTGTTTTATATGACATAAGTTTTAGAATTATAGTAGCTTGAGCATGAAAAAATTAAGGCTAATTAATTAATTCAGCATATTTACTATAATTTATAACTCGTATGTTCTCATTAGTTTTAGTTAACACTAATAGTCTTTTTACTATATTTATTATTGTTATTGCAACTAAAATTAAATATCTTATAAGTGGTAACATTGATTTTATAAACCATGTAATTAATGGCAGTTATTAATAATAATTTGATTTTATTTATTTTTTGGTTTAAGTGTTTTAATTAGCATATACTTAAATGTTTAATAACTATAGTTTTAGTATAAATAGTAATTAAAAATGAATTAAAAAACATAATTTAATATTATCATTTTATAGAAGTATTGATGCATGTTATGTAATATTAATGTATTATAAACAATTATATTACATAAATTTAAAGTGACATAAATAAAAACATAAAAATTAATCTTACTACCTATATATTTAGTATGTACATTTTATAATTTATCAAAATCTATAAATAAATACAATTTACTATTTGAAAAAATAAATAAATATTCCATAACTTAGTACCTATCTTATTTTTGTATGTACTTTATAACATGTCTATATCCCATTATAAATCGTTCTTGTATGTAATTATAAATAAAATATTTACTTTATTTACTCATGTATTATTAATATTATTTTTTTCATACTTGATTTAATTATTTTAAATTACTCTTAAATTAATATTAATTTACTACTGTTCAAATTTAATAATTTATTTAAATTTTGTAGATAAATGAATTGAGCCATGTAACAATACCAGTGATGCTACTCCCTGATGATTTTCGAGCGTATTCAAAAGTCAAAGTTGACAATCATTTATTTAACAAGTTAGTATTTATTAATAATTTTTATACATTAATATATTTATGTTTAATCTAATGATATAAATCATGTTTAAATTTATTTAAAGGGAGAATATGCCTAGCCATTTTAAAATCAAAGAATACTGTCCATTGGTGTTCCGTAATCTGAGAGAACGTTTTGGTATTGATGATCTGGATTACAAAGAGTCAATGACAAGGTAGATAATTGTTTATACTTAGTACTTTTAAATGTTTTTATTTATTCATTAAGGTAATTATTATTATTTACTAAATATAGGTATATGATTTATTTAATTCTTATAAATAATGGTTTGTTTTTTATGCTAGCATCAAAAGTATATAATACCCAAACGATTATGAGGTTACAGAAAATGTTGTTGGTTTATTCATAATTTATCCTCAGTGTAGTTTATACTTTTCAATAATAGTGTATATATTTAAAATCAATCTTGAACGTAATTGTTATGCATATGTATTTGAATAGTAGCCGACTTTGCAGACGACAAAGCGCTACTTGCATGCCACTTTGACCCAGACATAGCTGTCTCCTTTATGCAAACTCACCTTGACTTACTAGCCTCATGATACACAGAATGGGGCCCAAAATTAAACCAAACAAAATCACTCCACTTTACCTTTACTACACTATGCCTCAGAAATTGTCCACAACTACTTCTCAATAATCAACCTCTACCCTACTCTCAAA